GCTTGTACTGTTGATCCTTTTGATTAATACGAAGCTCAAGCTTCGTACTAGGTTTGGGAGACAACAAGGGGTAGAAAAGCCTTCCCCATTTAGGCAGTTAGCATCCCTTAAGAGACGGCAAAAACAGCAGGGAAGCTGTATGACTGTGTGGAGTCTGGAGACAGCATCAATGTCATGCCAGTCACCAAGTCCCCCATGATACTAAGAGAAAGATCACCCCAAAGTTAAGGAATGTGAGAGGTCAGCCATTTGTAAATGCTGAAAAGTTAACACTGGGGAGTACACCCACAAAGCCAAAGCAAGCAAGAAGGCTGTCAGCAAAGAGCCTCCGCTCACTTCAGATCCTAGGACTCATGCAAGAGAGGACACCTTTGAATGTATGTATTGCAGGAAACCGTTTTCCTGGGATCCACACTTCACTGATCATCAGAGGACACACATGAGAGGACTCATGTAAAACAACATGTGGGGAAACCTTCCTGAAATCACAACTCACAGATGCACAGAGAACTCACCCTGGAGAAATCTCACGAATAAATGGCATGTGGTAAAGCTCCCTGCAAAATCTCCTCACAGACTGGTAGACCACAGTGGAGAACTCCAGTGGGTGCAATGGGTGTGCAGAAGCCTGAGAGTCCATCTGAGATTCTCACAGGGCAGAAGCCCAAAGGATATCAGGAATGTTGCCAGTCCTTTGTGAAGTCAGACCTCACTGGACACCAGAAGACATATGTGTGTGATGTGTGGGAAAAATCTTGTAGAAATGTTTGTGGTCAGGGAAGGGAATCATGCAAGTGTGCTAAGTGTGGGAAGTTTTTCTACTGTAAATTAGCCCTAAGCCAAGTGTGGTGGTACATGCCTGTAATCCCAGCACTCTGGAAAGCTCAGGCAGGAGGACTGTAAGCTCAAGTAAAGCCTGGATAATTTAGTGACCTACTGAGACTTTGTCTCAAAATAATACAAAAAGTTGGGGATTTAGCTTAGTGCTAAGGCCCTGGGTTCAATCTCCAGTTCCAAACACAAAAAGAGTCAGTCTTAAATGTTAGGAGAGAAATACAGGAGAGAAACCTTGTAATTGCACCAAGTGTGAGATACTGTGCTCAAGTCAGTCCTGATTATACATCAAGTACACACAGGGGAGGAACTTTATAGCCATCAAGAATGTGACAAAGCCTTCTGTGTAAAGTCAAATTTCAGTAAACACCAGAAAATTCACACTGGGGGAAAAAACCACCTATGAGTAGAATATATTTGGCAAATCCTTGATCCTTGTCATCCATCACTGAACTCAAAAAGAAGAGAAACCCTACATGTGGCATGGATGCAAGAAGTCTTGCAAAAAGTCAGTCTCCTGCCCGATGAGGTGTCTTATGCCTGTAATTCCACCATGCTGGAAGCCTGAGGCAGGAGGATCACAAGTTTAAACTGAGCCTGGGTAATTCAGTGACAGTGAGATCCTGTCTCTATATAATTAAGGGGCTGAGAGTGTAGCTCAGTGAAAGGGCCTATGTTCAATCCCTGGGGAAAAATCAGCACTTTACAGCCCTCATCCTAAGAAGAAAGCTCATGAGTATACTGAATGTGGGAAGGTGTTTTATGTGAATTCTCACATTAATATTTGTCAAAGACATCACACAGGAAAGAATCTCCATTAATGTGGAGAACGTAGAAAAGAATGTACCTTCTATAAAAGTTACCTGTACTATTTAAGAACCCAGTCAGAGAAACCCTACAAATGTAATGACTGCCAGAAAATTTGTCAGCATGTCAACCATGACTATATAAGAGAACTCATACTAAAAACAAGAGAGACAGAGAACTCATATAGCAGAGAATCCCTTTAAGTGTGATGAATGTGGGAAATTCTTCTATGCGAAGTCAGCCTTCAGTAAACAAATATTAGTAGACACACAAGGAGAAGACACAGAGGCACTATACATACAAATTCACAGTGAGAGCTGGTGGCAAACCACACATTGCACTGGCATTGAAGTGCTGTGTAGAGAAACATTTCTATTTTTCTACTGCCCTGTTGGGTTGTGCCTGCAGGAGTCAATGGCACACTCCAGTTGAAGCTCAGGAACCACTTATGTAATAAGGTGGCAGCTACTGTGCCCTAACCCTGTCCACTTAGCTCATCTGCATCTCCTAGCACACTGGGAGGTAGCTCTGTGAGGGTCTTACTGGAGCACCCTGATGTAGCATGGTTTTCCCTTACCTATCAGTGACTATTGGTGCTCGGCATAAGACAGACAGTGGCTACTAGAATGTTTAAGGAGATTCTGGGTAACTTTTGGGGATGATTTCCTCTCCAATAAAGAGACAAAGGCAGAATGAGATGGACTATCTAGGTGACACCATAGGTTGGATCTTGTGACTCAGCTGGTAAGTGGAGGCTGGTGAGCAAACAGACCTTGTCATAGATAGTGTAGAGTTGAATGGATTAGCTCTGATGTGGCTCTGTCTTGGGAACATTTTGAGGTCATTATTTCCCTATTGTTTAAACCTGAAGTTGAGGTTTTTCAGTAACTCATTGCTAGAATACATTCTAGCTTTGAAGGCAGATACATTTCAAAAAAATAATTACTTAGTCCACGGGCTAAAGTTAGCTCAGTAGTAGAACATGTGCTTAGCATGCATGAGGACCTGAGTTCATTCCCAGCACCGCTCCCAACAAAAAAATCATAAAATTCACAATGTTAGATATAGCAATTCAGGGACAAGATTCCTTCTGAGAAAAGTGATACAGCATTTTTGTTCTGTAAATTTCCAGGTAATTGAATGTTATCTCGTTTGAAATCATGGAATTTACTTTGGAGATTAAGTGTGGTGGTTAAGATAGGTTGTCAACTTGATTAGTTTGGGAGCTCTCAGTAGATTAGTAAAGCACACTCCTGGATGTGTCTGCATGGGTCGTGGAGGTGTGGCCTTGAGGTCTATATCTGGTCCCTTGCCCCTTCCCCTCTAGCACTGTTTCCCTACTCTGCTTCCCAGCTGTCATGAACTAGGCAATTTGCTTTGTGACACTTTTCCTCCATGATGTCCTTGCTTTGGAGCCAGCTAACCATAGACTGAATCCACTGAATCTGTAAGCTAAGTTAAGCACCTCCTTTAAGTTGGCACCCAATATTGTGTGCTAGCAACAAGAAAGCTGATTGATAAAACTACGTATGTATTATTTCGCTTATTCAAAAAAACTTTTAAAGAAATGACTCATTGACCTTTCCTTATTTTATTTTTGGTACTGGGATCAAACTCATGACCTCACACTTGTAAGGCAGGCACTTATGCCACTGAGCTAAATCCCCAGCCCCCTTTCCACCTTTTAAAACAAAGATTAGCCTTGATAGAAGCACCTAATCTTCAATATCTCAGAGAATGGTGGGCTCTCCATAACCATTTAGCAAATCTATCTTTTGTTCCTGATTTAAAATGCTATCTTCATCATATACTAAATTATTGTTTCCAGTGGCTTTATCTTTTTCTGCTTAGCCCTCGTGTACCAATCCTAGGAAGAGCAGTGAAGTGCACAGGATGACCTATTTCCTAGGCACCAGTCACCACATGGCCCTTTTGCCCCACCTGGCGTTTTAGGGAGGGTAACCTGATCTATGAGAGGACACTGAATATGTGTGAGAATTTTGCAATGGGAGACCTACACAGAAAGTATTTCCTTTGATTTGACTTGGGCTGCAGTGAGTTTTCTCTTGTATGCAGTTTTGGTCTCTACTCTGCTTACATATGTTGTTCTGACTGGGTTTGTTCTCTTTTACTCAACTATTTTGCAGTAGTCCTAAAGGGAGTCATGTCTTCATTGTTCTTGCTTTATGGATACTTCCCCACTTGTAAAGGGCAAGTCCTTCTTCATTCTTCTTTGAGACTTTCTTGGCTTTTCCTATGTTCATTCCTAGGATGACCTTTTGAGTGGACTGACATCCCTTCTCCACATCCTTTAGGTTGGGGCTGGATTTTTTTTTTTTTTTTTTGGTACTAGGGATCAAACTCATGACTTCATGCTTAACAGGCAGGTACTTGTGCTGCTGAGCTATATCCCCAGCCCTGGGATTTTTATTTAAATTTAGTCTCTATTAACTGCCCATGGAGGTGGCCCACTCTTCAGTCAGCTTGGGCCATTCTCAGTACCCAGTAGTGGCTGGGAACTTCACCACAAGTGCTTGGCCTAAGACAAGCCATAGATCATCCTTACAGCATGGCTATCACTCGCTGAGGGCCAAGGTGTCTCCTCAAGCTGCCTCCAATGAACAAGTGGTAGGCTCTTGGGAGCCACTGGGAACTTTTTGGGCAAGGTATCATAAGTTTGAATAGGTATGCCTTTGGAAGGTGTCTAAGATGCCAGGCAGCCCTACTGAGGGTACCCCCCTTTCTAAGAACTGTGCTTTCAAGTGCCAGGGCATGGCGACTTATGATACGGGGTGTGGAGTTAATCTATTGGACTTTTTAAATGAATAGTTCAGGACAGAAAATGTGAATGCTTGGGTACGGTGTTACATGCCTATAATCTCAGCACTCAGGGAGGCCAAGGCAGGGAAATCTTAAATTCAAACGCAGCCCGGCAACTTGGTCAGTTGATGAGTCACTCTCAAAATAAAAAAATTAAAAAAGGGCAGGGAATGTAGCTCAGGGTGAAGGTTCTGGATTCAATTCCCAGTATGGGTGTTGGGGGAACGAGAAGGGAAGGAAGGGAAGAAGGACAGAGAAAAGGAAGAAGGGAGGAAGGCAGACATGAAGGGCTGCTGATAGTGTTAGGTTATGAAACTTTTTCTCGGTTCCTTTTTCCTAGGATGCTCCTTCCTCTGCACACTCCGTCATTCTGGTAGCCCCTCCTGCCTCAGGCTCTTGGGTAGCTGGGATTACAGGTGTGCACCATGACACCCAGATTACAGAGCTATCACTTTTATGACTGCACAGTATTGGGCTTTGGAAACAGGCCAGCGGTCCATGCTAGTTCATCATTTTAGCAGGAGCTACAAACTTTAAAGTAAATGAAAAGTAAAAGTAATTTATTTTAATACAGTTATCTCTATATTAACAACACAGCAACATAATTTTAAAAATGTGTTTCCTTCATTTTGTTAAGCTAGAAGCAGTCTACAAAGCTGGCCATTATTTGGCTTGTAGTCACATGGCTTATCATACAGCCCTCTTTGAGGAGCCTCACCAACAGCACAGCCAGGCACAGCAAGACAGAATACAGAAGACAGGGAAGGAGAGGGGCCAAACTTGGCCTCAGAATGTGGCCTCAGTATTAACAGATAGTGTTGCCAGCATATATTCATTTTACTTTATTTTTCTTAAAGCTTATATGTGTAACTAAGCTACAATGCACTAGTGTGGAAACCTTTGGGGATAATCATTTCAACATATATATTCTGAACTTTTGGATCCTACTTCAGACTATATGATCAACTATACAAGTAACCAGACTCTTAATTACTGTTATGTAACATAATCACAATCAAAAGAATATGGAAAAAACTGCTGAGCACTAACAACAGGAGCCATGTATGATATTTATGAAAAACACAGCATTTCAGCTCAGTGGTGTAAAGAGGTAAGTTACTCAATGACGTAGGCCATAAAGTCAATCATTTAAAAGTAAAACCAGATCCTTACCTCACACTATATATTGTGAGCTAATGGTAATAACCCACAATAAATTACCTTAATGAAATTTATTTCATACACTAGAAAAATGTAATTTTTCAGGTAAATGATAGGCAGTTTAAGGAGGCATACACATTTAATTGTTTCAAGTTGATTTCCAATGCTCAAAACTATTTGTGTTACAATTTACAGAAAATAATATCTCTGTATCAACACCTCAAAATAAATGATTTACCTGAAGTCCTTCTGGATTCCATAACTTCTACAAAGTGTAACTGTTTCAGAATGTCTTCAGTTATTAGCAACAGAGCATTCTAAGTCAACTAGCTTAAAAATAAATACAATCTCTCACAAATGAAACAGACCAGACATCAAGTGGCCACAGGGCTGGTTCAATGACTCTGTCATCCAAGTTCCTGAATCTTCCAGTCTTCCTGTGAAGGTCATGAATAAACCATAAGCCCTTGCTGGAAGAAAGTACAATGAACCATATCCAGATAAGGTCATTGTCATGAAAAGACCCTATTTTGTGTTGCTTGAGTCCTTGAATCTTTGGGGAAACTTTTTCCAGAAATAACCTGTCAGGAGGGTTTGTTCATCTGTCTAGTCTTGGGTCCTTATGACCACTGAGAGCAACTGCTGGCAGTGAGAATGATTACTAGTGATCAAAACTAACAAGGATTTACCTCCTGTCCCCTGAGGAGCAGAGGGTACCCAGACACTGCCAGGAAAGTTGAGGGCAGAGTGATTGGTGGAGTCACAACAAAGTCTGCCACAAACTCCACTTCCTCACTTCCTTCATAAATGAAGAGCAAGTGCTCATCAGCACTACAAGATCAGAAAAAGACAAATAACTCTGACATTAGTCCCTGCGTTCCACACACACTCAACCATCCAAATAAACAACAGATTAAAAGCAGAAGTGGTAATATTTTAAGTTCATTTTTTAGTTGTGCAGAGTGCGTTAAGTACTAAAGCTATTTTTCATTCCTGGAGAATTCTGGCTTAATTTAAAATCATCTATGCAGGATTTTTAAAAAATTCTATGTTATACATATTTATCTCTTTTGCTGACTCATCTATAATTAAAGACATTATAAAAAACATTGTTTTTTAAAAGGATAATGTAGTTCACTAACAGTGATCAAGTGCATATTTATAATACCAAGGAAGAATACAAATATACTTTAAACCTACCAAATGTTGTTTCAATGGCAATGCATACTAAAATATTAACATGGTAGAGCTACTTGGAATGAGCAATCTTACAATATGAGTTACAAATTCATAAAGATACAATGCTCACCATACAGTTTCTATAAATACTAAAACAACTTCTTCAAGAGCTATTTTATTCATGAATTTAATGCTGCAGACTTGGCTAGTTATCCTTATGATTTTACATGTTTATAAATTGTATGTTTTCTCACAGAAGATATCTTGTTTTTTGTTTTCTTTTGTTTTGTTTTTTTACAAATTTGTTTTTACACTGGCACTGTCTTCTAGTATTAACAATTTCCAGAAGAGTATATTTCCACATTCCTAAAACTGACAGAATTCCCTGATATGCAAAGCAGTTTGATTCCTTGGTGAAACATACTCTATTTCACACATACATACATACATATATATTCTAAATAGTAATATATTTTTTTTCCTATACAGTCTAGTATTTAATGAGTTATAGGGTCTTGGTACAATCTTGTTTTCTGCCTTGCGAATATCAATCAATGACCAAAGCATGGGCTTATTCACACTCATCTGTATGAGTTCTCAGATGCAGTGCCTCTTCTATGAGGTTGGGATGGAAGTGGGTGTTGGTTCCAAGACCTTCCCCTCCCAATATCATCTGCAGATGTTAGGCCCTTTGGTAAAACTGTGCAGTTTTTGCATATAATCCATGTAATCCTCCCATACAGTTCAGACTGCCTCTAGGTTACTTATAACTAATATAATGCAAATAATTGTTCAATTGTTGTACTATATTGTATAGGTAATAACAAGAAAAGTCTGCATGTGTTCAGTACAGTTACAATTTTTTTACCAAATACTTTTGACTGGTTGAATCCAGATATATAGAACCCATGGATACACAATCCAACTGTGTAGTAGTGTTTGATTTCTGATAGAAGTTTCTTGCTCACTGTTATGAAAGGGCTGTGTGAGGTCAGAGAAGCTGTCCCACATCAATTACATTCACGTTCCCTTTCCTATGGATTCTCTGATGGCTATTGAATGCTGACTTGTGGTAGAATTTCTTCCCACACTCAGTACATTCATAGGGTTTCTCTCCTGAATGGGTTCTGTAGTGCACAGTGAGGTATGACATCCGGGAGAAGGCTTTTCCACACTCGTTACATTCGAAGGGCTTCTCTCCAGAATGGATCCGGTGATGGATGGTGAGATAGGACATCTGGGAGAAGCACTTCCCACATTCATAGCACTCATAGGCTTTCTCCCCTGTGTGTGTTCTCTGGTGTCTGTTAAGGGCTGAGTTCTGGCAGAAGGTTTTCCCACACTCACTACATTCATAGGGCTTCTCTCCTGAGTGGATTCTGTGGTGGATGGTGAGGTAGGACATCTGAGAGAAGAACTTCCCACAGATATAGCACTCATAGGGCTTCTCTCCTCGGTGGATCCTGCGGTGTCTGCACAGGGCCGAGTTCTGGTAGAAGGTTTTCCCACACTCACTGCACTCGTAGGGCTTCACTCCAGAGTGTGTCCGATGATGGATGGTGAGATAGGAGAGCTGGGAAAACAGCTTGCCACACTCACTGCACTCATATGGCTTCTCCCCTGTGTGCACCCTCTGGTGCCGAAGCAGGGCTGAGTTCAAGTAGAAAGTTTTCCCACACTCAGCACACTCATAGGGCTTCTCCCCAGAGTGGGTGCGATAGTGCACAGTAAGGTACGAGAGACGTGAGAAAAACTTCCCACACTCATTGCACTCGTACGGCTTCTCTCCTGTGTGTGTCCTCAAGTGGGTTGTGAGCGTGGATTTGCGGCAGAAGCATTTGCCACACTCACTGCATTTGTACAGCTTCACACCTGTGTGAATCTTCTGGTGGTCATTAAGTGCTGACTTTTGCGAGAAGGTCTTGCCACAGTCATGACACACATAGGGCCTCTCTCCTGAGTGTGTTCTCTGGTGCTGTGTGAGGTGTGTCTTCTGGCAGAAGGCTTTCCCACAATAACTGCATTCATAGGGTTTCTCTCCTGAGTGAGTTCTCTGGTGTTGGATAAGGTGGAGTTTCTGGTAGAAGTTTTTCCCACATTCATTGCATTCATAGGGCTTCTCCCCTGTGTGGGTCCTCTGGTGTACCGTGAGCGTTCCCTTCTGGCAGAAAGACTTCCCGCACTGGTTACATTTATAAGGTTTCTCTCCTGTGTGAGTCCTCTGATGAATAATGAATTTTGACTTTTTACAGAAGGACTTCCCACATTCTCGGCATTCATAAGACTTCATGTCCATGTGAGATCTCTGATGGCCACTGAGGTCTGACATTTGGAGAAAGGCTATTTCAGACTCATTCCAATCATAGGGCTTTTCCTCCATGTGATTAACAAAAACTGGGTCCTTTTGGAAGGTTTTCTGGCACTCGATGTATTCAAAAGGTTTCTCCAAAATATGCACTTTCTGATAAATATTCTCTTCTTTTATGTCATAAGTTGCTCCACACTCATCTGGATGCATTTTCTCAAGCTTAATGTGGAGGAGTGATTTTCCACACCCACTACATTCATCAGGTTTCATTTTTGCATAGCTTCCATCACTACTAATATATTCTGAAACAGATGTTAAACTCTTTTCACAGGCATCACATCTAGAGGATATTTTTCTTGAAGCAACAGGGCTCATTTCTACACTGAATGCTTTCTCAGAAACATTACCTCTCTCTTCAACCAGGGTTTTATTGATGAAGAATGTATGTCCATCCTGCTGGACTCTCTCCATCAGGTCATCAGCTTGCCAGACTTCATCTAAAAAGAGGCAAAACAAACTGACTTTTGTGTATCCTCCAGCCCAAGGTAGAGAACAAGACTGGTACACAGCATCTCATGGTGGGGCAGGTACTACTTCACTGACAGACACAAAGTGCCTCCCCTTCACACACAACCCTCCAGTGGTGGGTAAAGGAACTAACAAAACACAGCATTTTTAATCTTTGCTACTTTGTAATATTTTGCTCAAAACTGGTAGTTACAAGGTGAGATAAAGACATAAAGTGATGAGTGGTAGCGGAAGGATATTGGGTGAAGGGCTGAAGAGAGGCACAAAAGGACACAGGGCAGAGCAGACCCACAGGGCAGCAGCAGGGCTCAGCCTGGAGGTGAATGACACTTGGCTCTGCATTACTTCGTTATCTCCTTGGGACAGATGAGTTATTGTCCTCTAGGGCACTGTCTCTCCCCGTGTCAAGACCTTTATGGCAGTGTTTTTACTATTTTATGTGATTCATCCTGCTTTGCCTTTTCCCCCATTCTATATAGTGGTGCCAAATAAACAGACACCTGATTTTTTTTTTTTCTTTTTCTTCTTCCTTTGAGACAGGGTCTCACTATGTAGTTCAGGCTGGCTTTGAACATGGTTTTGTAGCCATGCTGGCCTTGAATTCTTGCCTTAGCCTCCTGAGTGCTGGGGTTACAGGCATGAGCCACTATGCCCTGCAATTTTCACCTAAATTTCATGTTTAGAGCCAGTGACTAGGGTTCCCGCTCTGAACTTTGAAAGAAATTCTTGGAACATCTGTGTCCAATAGTAAGTACATGTGGTCCAGAGAGCAGGTCACCCTTCCAAAAGTTCAGATTTCTTAAATATTCTAGTGATGCTGTGATTTAGGATGGAATTCATCTTGAATGTACAATTCTTTTTGCTCCTATTCAGACAGTGGAGCAGAACTAGGGTGAGGTGATTGAGTGAGATTTGTGGGCAGCATCCCACCTATCACCTGGAGATGACAGCTTGAACTCCAGGGACTTTGTGGGATTAGTTCAGTTAGCAAGGTGCTCAGAATATCTTCTGGCAAAAAGCAGAATATGCTCAGTAAGTTCAGAAATTGTTTTTCCTATGTTTAGACATACTGTCACCACCTAAGTTTGCATGGGAGTTGGTTAGTGTTCAAACCTTAAGGACAGATGCCTCAGTCTGCTCCCGTAAGAGTGGCTTTCATTTTTACTCATTTCAGAAATTCTGAAGGGAGTGTGACTATTACCCTGGCTGTCATCCATACAAAGTGAAACCATGCTAACCTTAATGTCCTCAATCTACAGCTTCCCGGAACCTACTGCTCAAAAGCAATGGAAAAAAGGGGATAGAGACGGGGAAGGAAACCCAATAAACAATAATTTTCCATTGAATTCATAGTGACTCCAAGCTAGGAGGAGACACCATTAACATTACTCTGTCCCAGGAAACCAAACTGTGTGATGGATGAGGAGAGTCACAAGATACACCCAAATGGGGACTTGGTTTTAAAGAAAGTGATCAGAATTCACTTTTGTCCAGTCATAAAAAGGTGGCAGAGACAGATCAGCATCTGAGGCGCCACTGCCTCCTGCTGATCGCTGTGACGCTAACACGCCCCACACAGCTGTGGCCCCACACCTTGGCTCTTCGATTTCACTTCCTTTACTCACTTCTTGCCTCTGGCTACTTAAAGCCTATCCTCAAAGGGATTTTCCAGGCTTCCACATCCTTTCTTACCGCAAGTAACTCCATTCCCCTTGAAGATGAGACCAAGCATTACCCATAAAATCATTTCACACAGTGTGGCTTGGCCTTGTATGAGAACATCAGCACTCCAGGCAACATAGGAGTTTTAAATTACCTCGGATAGTTCTGTTCCCTGGTCTGAGTGAGAACTTATCTCTTAGATCAGCGACGGTGAACATTTTAGAGCTTTCAGTGATACAAACAGCCTGCTGCAGCACGCATGCCATAGGTCTGTCACCCATGTCCTAGAAGCATGACTCTATTTCCTTTTTCTTTTGAATAGAATTAGAGAAGTTGTTCTTAATCTGAATCATGTAAGATTTTTCCCATACTTGCAAATGACTCAGGCAAGTGTATTCAGAAATAACTGCCTATCTATATTTCTGGAAGAATAGATGAGAAAGTCCTGACTTACCTGGCTCCTCAGAGGAACAAATATCTACCCTATGACACTATACTGAGGGAGGAGAGTATGTGCTTTTCTTTATAGGATTATAATCCAGGAGGGCAAAAAGCTCAAGCAAAATCTGTATCCTATCTGAGTACAGATGACTTGATCAGATGGAACTTCTTTTATGTTTTTGTCTTGAGGTGGAATGGAGTGGAAAGAAAGAAGAGTGGAGTAATGCTAAGATTCAGGAAGGAACTGAACTTTCACAAAGGCTGGAAATGTGAGCTCAGACTTAAAAAGCATGTTGTCCGGAAAGCACAGGACACGTCAACAACACATGAAGCCACGGGGATGACAGTCTCAAGAGAAGATTAGAAGTGTGCATCAAATGAATTCAGTAAACATTTGGGGAAATTACTTCTCCAATACTACGGTGATTTGTGAGGGTACAAAAGCTAAATTCCCCTCAGGTAGCCATAATGAATGGGAGAGGCGGTCTTTCGAGGCGAGGCATAAGATCACCAGCGACTTCAGATGAAGACACCTTGTAAATCCAATTAGAATTTATAACAATCCAGGCATGACAGAGAACAGTCCTTGATTATATCAACTCAAAGGAAACTGAGTATACAGAGAATTATGACACACTTGTTGTCACATTCCTATAAGCCCAGCCTCTGAAAGGCTGAGGTAACAGGAGAATCTTAAGTTTGAGCCCAGCCTGGGCAACTTAGTGACAAAGCCCTGGGTTCAATTTCTAGTACCAGGAAGAAGAAAACAAAGAAAAACAATCTCACAAAAGATAAAACCCATTCATAAGAAGACAAAGAAAACAATCTCACAAAAGACAAAACCCATTCATCTTGTAGAGGACAGTAATGCCTGCTGACAAGAGTATTTTTATTAATTCTACAGGGACTATTATAGGGAAAGAAAAGAATACTATAATTTAGTAAGGGAAGGGAAGAAGGTATTGGGTTTGGAAGCGTTCATGATCAGTGTTCAGGTATATGAGAACAAGAGAAGCTCTGTGGTCACAGAAGACACTGGGTCTATAGAATGATGGCAGACATGTCAATTTCAGTGTGTGCAGTATAAAAACAAAAACTTAACAGACTCAAAAAAGACGCAAACCCGAAACACTTAAAGCCCTCTGAGGAAATCACAGCAGGTGGAAACAGATCCTTGAAAGACATTCTGGAGGAAGTGGAAGGACAAGTCAAACATTTATGTATGTAATGCCCACTGAGCAGCTGCTGTGAAAGGACACTATTTAAGGTGTTGGGACTAAAACAGTAAGAGCTGAGATAAAAATGAGCACCTGGGAAGAAAGGGAGACCAGTTGTTGCTGCCACCAAACTTTGGAGGGGTTGGATTTTAGGAAGGACCAGCACCATCAAATGAAGTACAATCACACACAAGCCAAGTAGACAGACTACTCGTTTAGGCAGAGGATGCAAATTTCAGAATCTTTCAAAGAAAGAGAAGTAAAAATTGAAACCGAGCATAGTAATAAGTCTGAGGTATTTTAAAGTAAAGTCCCCCCCCGCCCCCCCGCAAAAAAAAACCCAGGATGGTAACAATATAAAAGCTCCATTAAAAAAAAAAGAATTATAAATAGCTAAAAGCAAAAGAGATCTATGATAATGAGTTACTGAAAATGCTAGAAGATTGCTCAAAGCCTCAAGGTTGAAGAGAAAGGATTCTGAGTAGTGGTAAGCAGGACAAAGCTCCATAAACATGTTTCTATGAGGAAGGAAGATATCTTCTGGAGTGAAAGTCAGGTACCTATAGCATAAAAGTAACTATCTTTAGTCACTTCAAAAGATTGGGGGCCATCGGCTTCTAGGAGAAACATTCCCCAGTTACCAATCTCCTCTCTGCCTCCACTAACACACCTGGGCAGCTCTGAGGTGGGAATGCTCCTTCTACTATCCATGGCTCTTCTCCTTGCTCCAACTTGATGATAACATCCGGTTTGATAATGTGACACCCTGTTAATGAGAAATGAAAGAGAACTTGAGCCTGGCTGCTTGGTTTCAGGGTCGCCTCGTGTGGGGCAAGAGCCCTGTGCTTGATGAAAATCAGTTTTCACTGGAGAGGTCCACAACACCAAAGTGCCCTGCATGATGCCCCAAACAAAGCACTGACCTTTGTCCCATCAAAATTCCAAGTTAAAGTCATTAAACCAGAGAGAACTACCACGGATTTTAGTAACTGAGAGAGCAAGCATGTCCTCACCCACAGAGACGAGGTTGCTATAGTTCTCCAGCATCACATCTCTGTAAGTCATCTTCTCACTGGCATCCAGCTGCCGCCATTCCTCCTGGGTGAAGTCCACAGCCACATCCTTGAATGACACTGGTCCCTGAAATGGTACCGTGACCCAAATTGGGTGATGTAGAAAGGGCACATAGAGACAAGATCTTCTCAATGTCACTGGAAAAGCTGGCCACGAACACTGCATACTTTGTTAGACTGACAAGGAAAACACCTATCAGACACACTGCCACAGGGCTCATGGATACACATTAAGACCAAAAGCCAGGAGCAATCTTGGCTACCCAGAGACCAAACAAGGAGGTAGAGCCCTGGAGGAACAAGGTCTGTGGGGCACCTCGCAGATTCTAGGACACATTCTATGACCGGTGTCCCTTCTCCCCTTCCCTCTTAGCCATTTCTTCTCAGGTACCTCTCTCTCTCTCCAAGTCACCCTGAAGTTGGATGGTCCTGGGGTTCAGTCTCTGGTCATTTTCTCTTTGCTACATATACTTGCTGTTTTGATGGTGAGCCTTCCTGACTTCTTGGCTAATTTGTCATCTCTCTACCAGCATTTCCTGAATTTCTATCACCAGTCCAGGCATCTGTCCTCAACTTCAGACACTTAGGTCACAGATCTTAAACTCAATATACTGCACATTCAACTGCTATTTCTAAGCCTGTTCCTCCTACAGCCTACTTGGAAATGCTAATTCTTGCCACAATCAACAAAGCAGTAGGCAAAGCAAGCAACTTTCATTCTAGTTTTCTCTCTTTCTGCTTCGTTTTGTGATTCTAGGAACTGAACCCAGGGCTTCATACATGTAAAAGCAAGCACTCTTCCACTGAGCTATATCTTCCTCAGCCTAGTTTTCTATCTTATGGAGGATAAGTTTGTAGCCTGCCACATGAGATACCAATATAAGCTTGACCTGGTTGTTTCCATTTCCAGCTGCAAATTCTGAATCCCCTTTCTTCCCATTTACACTTTCAAGGAAAGAAGAAGCACATTCCTGAGGACAGATAGCTACTGGGAACTTGTAACACTCCATCTTAAAATGTCATCTTTTGAATAAACCTATCCTTTTCACAAATACACCAGTACTACAACTGGCTCCTTCAGTATCATCGTTCTATAGTACAGTGACAATGGCCCCTGTCACACATTACCATACCAGTAGAAAATGGGGTTTTGTGGAAAATACAGCTTTCTGAACATGATATGTACTCATCAGTAGAATCAACTGATAATGCCAAATATTGTATGCTATTGTTTTCAAAACAGGAATGAACATTAACCATAAAATAAAGGAGTCAGGCACAGTGGTGAACTCCTATAATCCAGGCTACATGGGAGGCAAAGGCAAAAAACCCCCAAAAAACAAAACAAAAAACCCCCCAAAAAACAAAACTGCAAAGAAATTCTCAAAATAAGAGGTGGGGATGTGGCTTAGTGGTACAGCATTTGCCTAACACATGCAAGGCCATCAGTTCAATTCCTGGCACAACCATACAAAACAAAATAAAACAAAAATCTAGAAGTTTAAACAATTGGAAGGTTAGCTGGCTGCTGAGTTTTAGGCACTTGCCCAGAAAGGCTCATAAAATGGAAATAACAAAGGCTTCAGATGATTTCTGCAAAACACAGAGGCAGGACAGACATGGAAGGCTGGGGGGAGAAAGGCTATGAAAGGCCAGATGAACTAGTATTTCTGAAAATGCTGGCTTCTCTGTGTGCAACCATCCATGCATGCAGTCAAGAGTCCTACAAGCATGACTCCCAAGATGTCAGGCTGTCCCTCAGCTCCAGATGCTAGGTGTCCAGGACCAGGCTCAGCTGGCCTGGGCAAGTGAGAGGGCCTAACCTTGGTTCGGGTATGCAGTGGTGGACAAGTGGCTCCTGCCCCAGCCAGACTGATCCATGACACAACTGCCCCACTGGGTGAGAAGACTGTCTCGGACAGCAACCCTGCAGCTTCCAGAAGCTCTGCCCATCTGTCATCCAGATGTCCCCACCCCTCACTGGCCAATCTGATAAAACTGTGAGCTTCCAGAAATTTGAACATCTCATCACCTTGCCTTGCTGTGTGCTAACAACCCAGTCATTTCTTAGAAAAAGACGGCCTACTTTTGCTTACTCCAGTGGTGTATCCCTCCCTGTGCGGTCTATCCACTTGTACCTGTCAATCCAGTTGCTGTACAATAGGCGAAAACAGCCACATGACCTTCAAATACTTGAGAGAAGAGGAAGTGTGGAGATGTCACTGATTTAGGAAAATTTAGGAAAAAAAGCAAATGATATGAGTGAATTATAAATAAAAACAAAGATAAATATAATGAGATGAAATATACCTATGACTAAAATAAATGCAAATGGACTCAATCTATTTTAAACTGGAATTCTCTTGTATCAAAAATTTCCCAGGGACAGTTGGGTGTGGTGGCACACACCTGTAATCCCAGCACTCAGGAGGCTGAGGCAGGAGGACTGCTGTGAGTTTGAGACCAGTGTGGGCTACATACCAAGTTCAAGGCTAGTCTCAACTACATAATGAGACTCTCAAAACAACCCCAGGGACATGACATGCTCTTCACTATTTTTATTTTTTGGCTGAGGTGGGCTTTGAACTTGTGATCCTTTTGCCTTGGCCTCCTAGTAGTTAAGATTACAGGTGTGTGCCTCTGTGCCCAGGCTATTTTAGGAAATAATAATAATGTGTGGATATTGGTTTAATAATGTGTTGATCTTGGTTTATCAACTGTACTGCACTGATGCAAAGTGTTACTAACTGGAAGCTACCAGAGGAGGAATCTCTGAAAACTCTGTGATATTTGTGTAACAAAATTACCCTAAAATTTAGTCTATTCACTCAAAGAAAAGGCCTTCTAAATAGAATATACAAATATACTCAAACTTAAGTCTTGCTCATGACAAAGAGTGCCCTCCCCATTCCCTTACTCCCATCCCCTCCACTGACATTCTTTTTTTTTTTTTGTCTTTTTTGTTTTTATCGGTACCAGGGATTGAACTCACGACTGCCTGCTTGCATGGCAGGCGCTTATGCCGCTGAGCTAAATCCCCAGCCCCTCCACTGACATTCTTGAGCTTGGGGTCAGCTGAGACACTGTCCTACTCCCTGTCTGTCTGGGAGCCCAGCTAGGCTGGAAAGCCAAGTCCTCTGACTCCCACCTCCACACCCAGCATTCCATGCTTTCCACACTATCAATCTATATATTACATCTTTTTATCTGATGATGTCCTGCTCTTCCCAATATTCATCTCCACTCCTGTCTTTTGGTCCCTTAACTGGCTCTCCAGAGCCCTGTACAGCCCCCCAACCACCCAACCTTATGCTGTTCTGGGTACTCAGCCACAAGTCTGAAATCCTCATCCCAAGAGACTTCATCATTGTGGGAACCCACCCTTTACCCTGTGACCTGGTCAGGACATTCTGACAGCGCTGAAAACCAGACTTCTGCTTTGCTGTCACTCCAGATTTCCCAGGCGTGTACCACCTATACTCTCTCATCACCTCTTATTACTCTGTCAACTGTTCCTCCAAGAAAACCAGGAGCTCTTTGAGGTCATGGAAGGCCTCTTAAAAAGCTCAACTCCATATCTGAGGAACTATGACATTATCAGCTAAGACAAAAACAAAACACTAGGTAAGGAGAGGAACAAGGTGTAGGAGACTTCTTTGGGACTCCAGGCACAGAGCAGGAGCCATGTCTGTGAGGATGACTGGTTTCCACTGCTCCCCGCTGTGAAGCACCGTGCAAGATTCGAGCTGCCTGAAGAGCAAACTGTCTACGCGGCAGTCAATGATGCAGAGAACCCCCAGCTGCACCACAGGGCTTCCCATCAAGCCCTCAGCCTCACTTTCCTTCTCAGTGGTGCAGGATCTACTACCCAGAGAAGAGGAGCACACAGGAGGGATACCACGCCCTGTGCATTCCGGCTCACATCAGCAACCCCCGTCTCCTCTGGCTGACTCAGGGAGCCCTCCAGCCTGGAGCCCTTCTGCTCCACACATCACCTGTATTCATTCCCCACTGGGTCACCCCCATGTTATTCTTTCCACCACCTGTCAGGACTTCAATTTCTGCTCTAGCTACGAGCCAACTTCTCTTCTCCCCCTTGGGGCAGGATTTTGTAAGTTAAGAACAAACCAAGTCTGATTCTAACAATTCTTTCCTAAACCCACCAGTCTGGATTTACCTTAAGGTCCAGCCAAGTAAATCCTGAGGAGGCCCAGGACCTGGGCAGGGCTGAACCCTACGGTTGGTTCTGTCCCCGGACTTCATCGTGAACAGTACTCCATGACCTCACACTCCAGGTTCTCACACTTGGCTTAGTACCAGCCCCACCAGCCCCTCTTCCTCTGGCAGATGCTGTATATAGAAAAGCCCTGGGCTAGCTCCTAGCAAAACACATATCCTGTCCTGCCACTGCCACTCATGTGAGCAACCTGTTTGAAATGGGAAAAACCATTGTGGCTTTTCTCAAACCTCCTTTCTCCATCTTCTATTCCCTCCCAGTTCACTGGCAACTTTGTTTTCCTCGTCACTCAGGGAGCCTCTGGAGGGGCTCCTGTGAGGAGCCAGCAGGATCTGATTAGCAGAAACACTCAAGGCGGGAAATGAGTGGAGCGAGGAAAGGAAGGAGGAGCAGCACAGAGAGGAAGTCACTGACACAGCCCAGAGACAGACATACAGTCTCTATCTGGCTGCAGAGACATGGTAAGGAGGAAGGATAAAAACCATTCGAACACAAAACCCACAAGTGTAAACAGTTACATGTGACAACAGAGCAGGGAGAAGTTTAGGAAGAATTCCATTCTCTGGAGAGCTGAAAAGAATGATTTTTTGAACCAATACTTCTGTTAACTTTAGGTGCCTTTTGGACACATTCCATGGAGATATTCACCAAGTGGCTGGACAGAGGTCCCGTGTGGGGGAACCAACAGAGCCTTGGTGGTTGGAACACAGGGGGAGGGTACATGAGGGAAGGAGGACGAACACAGGAAACCCAGAGATGCCCATGAAACTGACGGAAGAGGCAGCAGAGTGCGCTAAGCCAAGGATGGATGAACAGCTGCCAGTGTATGAGTTAGCGAGACCTAAGGCAAGCATACATTAGGTCATTGGCAACCTTTACCAGAACAGGACTGGGGAGTGTCAGGGACACAGTGGGACTGTGTGTTATAGGACAAAATGGGAAATAAAGGCACCACTGCCTGGGACTCATCACTGCTCTGTCCCTGTGTAACCCAGAGTGATTACAGAGAGAACTATTTGCGGAGGCTCATTTAAGGGTGAAAAGGCTGTTGCTTCAGATGATTTATGTGCATCCCCAAACTGGGCAGTAAAAACAATACATTCGCAGGGCAGCAATGTTTTAATCACCAGAAAAGTTGGGGCTGGGGATTTAGCTCAGCAGCTCAAGTGCTTGCCTGGTAAACATGAGATTATGGGTTCAATCCCCCACATCCCCCCACCAAAAAAAAAAAAAAAAAAAAAAGAATAAAAAGTATACACAGAGTCTTTCCTGAGCAGAACACACTCTGCTTTCTCGTTCATGAAGGACAAGTAAGACACCAGTAGCAATGGTTTAAGGGTTGTTATGTGGGAAGGCTAGTCACAATTACATCCAAGATATCTTTAAAATTCATGAGAAAACAAACATGATTCTGCTTACACTCAGTGTAAGGTGAGCAATGGATGGTTTTGTCCTTTTTTGCCATGAATGTCAAGGATATGAGACACATTTGTACTCTAGTTTTCAAGAATCTTTAAGAACTGTGTTATCTTCATGAATGGGCAAGATAAAAATGCCAAGTACTAATTACAACTTGTTTTGCCTGATCTATTATCTTTTGGTGTTTCACTGTAAAGTTGGAACCTTTATTCAATTCCTAAAGTATACTGTAAGTCAAATCAAAGAATAAACACATGAACAGAAAAACTCACCAGGGATTTTTTCATTTTCTACTGCTCTTGGAAAAATGTTGAAGTCTGAAAGCAGAGACAGATCTAGGAAAGAAAAATGCAAGCAGTGTCATTACACGCAATCTGCCCTACCACTGCAGGAATATCCTGCATGAAAACCTATCCAGGAAGTTCCCAGAACTTCCCCGTAAGTCTGTCTTATTGGAGATTGTCCCAATGGGACCTCAGAAAAAACTAGAACAAATCACAGCAATGCCATGTGCATGTTACAACCCACACAGTTACATGGTGAAGGGCTGAGATTTTCATGGAAGAACATAGAATTCTACTGAAATAACCTGCCACCATTACATGTCAGAGAAAAAATGACTTCTATTTTACTCATCTATTTTTTCACTGACTCTTACCTACTAAAGACCAGAAAATCCATAGGATGCTCTGAATAAAGGAAGTGAGTCCCATTTAATAGCAATACAGTAGAGGGAACATGAGCTTGGGAGTTTGAGTCCTATCACCAATCCCTACCAAGAAATCCGGTGACCTTGGTCCAGTCACCCACTTGCTCAGGCCCACTCTCTTCCTTTACCTATGGAGGCAACAAGAGATCTGTCCTGCACTGCTCTGCGTGAGTCTACAAAGCAGATCTGAGGGACTCAGCAGACACAGAGTAAAGGCCATGATTGACGCTTACAGACACCTTTGGGAGAATCTGATACGAGAGGAGGCAGGTGGGCCGCAGACCAACGTAGACAGCTGAGACCCGGGACGCCACGTTCCTGACACACCTGTCTAGACAAAGCGCTTCGGCTTGCGCAGCCCGCCCTGCTCCCCCGACCCACAGTCTCTCCCGGGATCATTCCACACCCTCCCTCGCCCGCGCGCTCCGGAGCTCGCCCAACCGTGGCCCCTACCGCCGGCCCAGCTGAGGATCCACGGCTCCCGAGGGTTCCAGGCAAGGCCGACCCCGCCACCTCCATCCCCTCGCAGGCCCAGCTGCTCCGAGGACCCAGAGCGGGGGCCCAACCTGCCCCCCAGGACTCACCGCCGAGGCCGCAGCGAGCCGCGCCAGGTGCCGCCGCCGCCGCACGCCCTGCCCCTTCGGCCTCCACCACGGCTTCGGGGCTCAGCGCCCGCGCTCGGTTTCCACTCAAGCCTCCGCCCAGCCGCGCGGACCCTAGTCCGCACAGCTTGCGCCCGCGTGGTGCTTCCCCTGCCGGTGTCCCGGCCCCGCAGTCTCCCCTACCGGAGGCCAGAGCCCGGCGACCAGAGCTGCGGGTACTTAGGACGCACCGGAAGCGAGGACAGGCCGGAGGAAGTGCGCATGCGTAAACACGAACACTGGGCGGGGAGCTCACCGGAAGGCAGCGTCCCAGGCGGTGGTCTTTCCTAAAACGTACCGGGGCTCTGTATCCCAAAAGGCTGTACGCCGCCAGCTTTAGGGACCCACTTTACCTCCTTTGGCAGTACACATGCGCTATCCTAGGCGCAAAAGCAGACCTGAGCGCCACACTGGTCTGCATCTGTCTCCAGGTCCTGCATCCTAGAAAGGGGCTGCACGGCTGCGACCTGGAGCCCGAGTCCTCTTCAAGCCTTGCGATCGTCCGGTTAAAACCGAGGCTCTGACTAGCGGAAGGAAACGATTCTGTTCCCTTAACTAAAATGCTAGCAAACATTGCCCTCAAATACGAAGATATCACAAATGCTCAGCGATGTTTTTCGGGGGGTGGGAGGTGAGAATGGGAAGCATTTATAGATTACACAACTAATACAAACTGTAAAAAGAGAATCAGAGAACAACTCAAAAGAAAACAGATTTAAAACAAAACAAAAACCAGATACCTGTGATCTGACCTTATTTAGCGTTAGGTAAAGTGTCAGGTTCAGAAAATGACACCTTAAGGACAATGCCTTGTCACTTTTGTTTTGAAATAATACAAGTGTCCTTGACCAATTGTTTTTTAAAAGCAAGTGGGGATAAAACGAAAAATACAAATTCTTGTCAACTAAGAAAATCCTAATGCAGAAAATGAAGAAAACAGTTTCACGTTGGGCTAAGCAGCAAGTGAGACTGCGTTGTCTGTCACAGGCAAATTACTAAAGGAACCACGAAAAAGAGAAATCTCACCTGCCTGCAGCCCCATAGATCGGAGTTACCGCGTGCCTGGTCTCAAACTAAAGGGCACTGAACTGCCATTGGCTCTGCGTTGTCACGTGTCTCCTCCCTAGTTCACTTGGGAATCAAGATGATCATCCATACTGCTTTATACCTTTATCAAAGGAAAAAGCAAAACTTAATTTCCCTTATTAACTCCTTTGAAATGAATACCTTCTTGCCAGACTCACTAAGGTATTTTGCACAGAGAGACCTTTAAAAAAAAAATCTACTTTTCTAAATTTGAAAATTTTGGGGTAGTTTCCTGTGGCGATATAAAATTGAGTTAGTTTGATTTTGAGTGTCCTCAGAAGGCCCCAGTGTCCCCAGCCTGTAGTGCTATTGGAAAGTGATGGAAATAGGTCTAATGGAAAGAAATTGGGTCATTGGGGACTGCATCCAGGCAATGAGAAACCTTTTCTTCCTTTGGAAAAAAGGTCAGAGGCTGAATTACATGATGTGGGAAGAACAAGAGCTGTTCATGTTCATATATGGAAGAAATGTCCAAATTCTCAGTCGAAGAATGCTGTAACTCAGCTTGCCATCATGACATCGGTCTTGAATTCCCTGGCTTTCCTGGAGCTCTGGAAAAAGGTGCTGGATTAAATACTTCACCCTGTTGGAGGTTACTGTGTAGTTTAACACCCTGTTCCAGGCCATCTCAGTGCTCCTTCCTCATACTAATTAATGGTTTGTACATGAGGTTGGGTGTTGAGCTCGTCCTGATGCCCTGGTCCCCAGCTCCTCTGCAGCTTTCAGCTCCTCCTGCACCATGTGAGTGTCTCCATGTCTGCTGCCTAGAAGGAGGCTCCATGACCAGGATCCTCCTGTTCAGTCCTTACTGCTGCTAGGTGTCAGGTTCAGAAAATGACACCATAAGGACACCGTAAGTCCTTGCTGCCGCACCTAGGTTCACTTCAGTGATAGTAACAGTGGTGTGAAGTAGCCACATCTCCAACCTCCAGTGGATCTTTTTCCCTGTATTTTTCTGCAGGGTCCATGCTTGGACCCTTTGAAGTTGCCTGGTAAACAGGGGCAAAAAAGGTGCCAGTCTGGATCTCAGGTTCCTGTGGTTGTCACCTGGCCTGGTCCACTGACCATGCTCAGCGCCAACAGGAACCTCTTCACTCAGCTCCCTCTGGTCTTCTGCCTTATGACTTCCAGCTGGTGTCTCCATTAATGCTCAACTCTGTCCCCTCCACTCAGGCACACTGCTGCCTCTTTGATGATCCCGTCCTGTTCAATGGCTTAAAAACTCCTACTTCAGCAACTGTGCAGGCTGTCTTAAGGAAGGCTTCTCTCCCAGGGCTCTAAATTCCTGTCATATGAACTCCCCCCACTTTTGCATTTCTTTTGGTTGGTACAGTAAATATGGATGTGATTCTTTTTTGGGGCAGGAGCAGCAAAAGTCCTCCTTCACTGCTATTCTCTTCTCCCCAAGTCCTTGCCCAGGTATCCTGAACTTCCATGAACATCTTAGTAGGTTATTTCCTCGAATGATGTTTCATCACTGAGGATTCCAGTTCCATTCTTCCACCAGAGAATTCCAAGTCAAGCCCTATACCAGGTCTGCTGAACTAAAGACTGAAACTAGATCCAGGCATCTGCATTTTAATGTTCTTCCATGTGGTTCTTAAACTGAAAGTGTGGTATTTGCAAAGCATTTCTGTTGCACTCTAGTATTTCTGCAATAGATCTACACCTTATTAAACTAAGCAACCTGGGAGCAAAAGACAAGTGGAGAGGTTACAGTATAGATCAGAGATAACCTGGGCTACTTAGTCCTTCTTAAAGAGGACACCAATGCATTTTAAAATGACACTACGTAGTTTTATCAGTCTAGGTAGAGTGGCTGAGAGACAGATAGGTAGATAGATAGATAATGAAAGAAGTAAGCAAATTTGAGTTTGAATTTTTATCTAAATAACCAGAACTCTGCATGATACAGAGGAGGAATTTTAGAAGGCAGAACTTTTGTTTTTGAGACAGAGTCTCACTATGCAGTTCAGGCTGGCCTTGAGCTCACTATGTAGCCCAGGCTGGCCTAGAATTCATGGTGATGCTCCTGCCCCTAAGTGCTGGGATTATGGCCATGTGATATATTAGAGGACAGAATATTGATCTAGTGTGGTCATGTATATCTTATAAATTGCGTCTTAGTTACTTTTCTCAATGATAAGACAAAATACCCGACACCCCAAGTTAAAGTAAGAAGGGTTACTTGTCTCACCGTTTGTAGAGATTTCAGTTCATAGTTGGCTGGCTTCAACTATGACATGTCATGACAGAGGAGCATCGCAGAGGAGAAATAGTTCATGATAAGCGGAAGGTAGAGAGCAGCAAGGCAGAAAGCTATAAGCAACAAGCAGGGATCCTCTTTCAGTCCCTTACGCCTTATCCAGGCTACCCATCCTCAGGGTAGGTAGCACTCCCACCGAGGGTGAGGCAGCCTTAATTCTATCATCACACCAGAAATCAGTCCCAGCATTATATCCTTGATTCCAGCAGCATTCATCCTAGATCCAGCCACCTCTGAAGAGCCCTACCTACGACCACATGAGGCTTGGAAGGGACATTAGATACAAACCATAACAGATGAATAGGTTCTGATAAATGTGCCTTGGTCATGTTTGTCAATGCAGGAACATCATACATACAGGAACTTAAACAAACCAGAATGTCTACCATGACCCTAGGTGATACAATAATATGGGACAGTTATATACACGGTCTGTTTTCACCCAAGAATTGACTTGTGGTATGTGACTGTATTTGTAGCTTGTTTCCTAGGAGAGAGGGTATAAATTTTTGTTTTGCCAAAGGAGGATCCATTCAGCTCTGATGATTGAAAGCATCAGAGACACAAATTGGAACTGAAAATGAGCACGGCTTTCTGGCCACTGCCTTTGTTCAGTAATGGGACCTGCTTCCTGCCACAGCAGGGCCTTGCCTATGCACGATGGACTCAGAGAAGACCCAAGGCCTTGAAAAAACTTCCCAGGAGCTTTCAGGCTATCGGAAGCCCTTTGAAGCTCCATTCAAGTCTGAAGCTTCAAGACTGAATGGAAAGTAGAAGCTTTCCACTGTGGACAGTTCTACCTCTTGAATAATTATACACCTTCTCAAATATATGGGCATGGATGTTTGTCACAATGATGGAAAATGAACAAATATTAACATATTTGTTAGGGAGGGTTGAGTCTTACAGTCAACACTATACAGTATTAGTTTAGACAGAGGTATAGGCAAAGATTTGTTTTGAATTGTGTGCAACTGGCCAGATTTAGGAGTAAGCACTTTGGTGAGATGTTAGGGATTGGGATTAGGGGATCAGCATGTGAGCTCATGGTCATGATGTTGACATATTAGTGACAGTCGTATCATGGTTAGAAGTCTAGATGTTAATTGAGTGGAAAGGATGAAGCTATAAGTTAAGTGGAAATGTGTTGCCTTCTCCAAAGCTGCAATCATTCACTATATACTCCAGAGCAGAATCACCCCCCATTCTTCCTATAAAGTGCAAAGATGGATCTGACCCAAGACATCGTAAGTGAATTTTGGAATGAGGATTGCTAAATGAGAATCACAAGTAGAACTCTATAACAGTTCTAAATTGGGCTTCAGAATGAATTTATAGAGATAAAATTGGGTTTGTAAACTGGTTGAAGCTTTAGTTGGGATTTACCTAGGATGTCACTCTTCTCATCTGGAAAATCCGCCCCCTCCAGAAGCCTGACACCATTTCATTCTTCTTTCCCAATTACTGAGCCCAAGAGAGTTGCCCATTTTCAGCACAAAGAACACGCTGGCCTCTTGTTCAGATAACCTAGTAGAATCCAGACACTTCTAATGTTATCACAACAGACTTCCTGGGGCTGGGGAACTCATGGAGAGACAATAAAGAATCAATTTTTCTTGGCCATCTTGTAAATGTTACATTCTTCATTCATGTCTGCCATCATATAGAAGTTGGACATCTGCTATTTTTATATAGTTGGTTCCCCCATAGTGTTGACATCATTTGAAGGTGATCTGCAGAGTATTATACGGGGAGGGAATTACTTTTAAAATACAATACTAAGGCTATAGGAGTGTCATAAGTTTCTTTACAGTATAAACTTCATTGGCTTACTGTGAATAGTGTGCTCACAGAATTATTACTATAGTTACTATATTTTTTTATTTTAAAGAGAATAAAATCAACCTAAATAAAACAGAATAGAGTCAATCAAAACAAAACAATGAAAATGACAGGACTTCAAACCAAGATAATAGGAAATCAACAGGGGCTACCATAATATATCTTGTTATGTTCAAAACAGGTTCCCATACCACCAGATATAATAAAATCAAGCAAAGCAAAACAGAATAAAACCAAACAAAACAATGGAAAAAATACAGGACTTCAAAACAAGATAATAGGAAATTAACAATGGCTACCATA